GGGGTACGAATACCCCTCCCCCCCCCCCCCCGCCCACCCCTCACCCTCCAGGATGTTTAAAAACTCAAACCTTCTTTTATGAAAAGCTTTTTGATACATTGTTTCAGTGAACAGAACACTATTTCTCAAACGGTTTCAGTTTTGAAGAATCAACATTTTCCAACTAAAGACAAATTCTTAGAGAACATTCCCAATCAGCTCCAATTTCCAGCCTGACATTGTCAAATTTCAACTTCCATTGGATCATGTTATGCCTTTCTCTGCTAATGGGCTCTTCAATCTGGCAGAGGAAGGTGCAACATGATGGGTTACAAGCTGATGCTAGACAAATTCAGATTGGAAATAAGAAGTAAAATTTTAATGGTAAGGGTAATTAACCATTGGAAAAATTTATCAAAGGTCTCTAGGAATTACTTTGGGGAAGTTCTTGTCGCCTGTCTCATCCCAGGGTTCAGGATATATAATCACAATGGTTTCTTCTGGCATTGGAATCTAGGAATCTGCAGTGGTATACAAGTACCACTGGCTTTGATTCTTGCATTTTACTACTTCTGTACTTTCAATATTTTATAAATTACCAAACTTTGTCTTGGTTTTGGTTATTACATTATTTCTGTATGCTATGGAGACAAAATTGGAAGTACAGGGTTTTCTTTTTGTTTTTCTATTTCAGGAAGACTCCAGAGAGAAAACGGTTAAGTCCCATTGACTTCTGTGTCTTGGAGGATGTCTGGTTGTGTAATATTTGGGGGATATATTTTGGGGGACAAGAACTGTGAATACAAGAGAGATTGATGATTGTCAGTATGTTAATGAAAAGAGACTAGCAGATGGGAGTGATGGGTTGTGAGAGAAGTTTCCATGGAAGAGAAGGAGTCTGTAGAGTTTCCATGCTGAGAGAAGGTTTGGGATTTCCTCTTCATGGGTTGGGGTTTATTCAGAGGCCTGTCATAGCTGGCAGATGAGTCTGATTGGATACTGAGCATGGGGATAACAATTGGGAGTGAGTGAAGGTGGAATATGTGGGGTATTTCATAGTGAAGGCTTCAGAAGTGGTTACAATGTAATATTTGTGGGTATTTGTTAACCCATTACATACACAAATACCACTGAGTGCAAGAAAAGATGACTACCAAAGCAGAAAAAAGTAGCTTTGAATTGGTTCTCCTTCAATATAGTTCTATTAAACTGACTATACTAGTAAAACCTCTATAAAGAGCTGTGCAGGGCTCCCTGTTAGAAGTAATGGGAATAAAAATATTTTTTTCCTAATAATCTTTTAATTAATCTCATGTCCTGTGGTTGGACTCCAGAAAGAGGCAGTGTGTAGCATCTCTAAAGCAGTGACAATATTCAGAATTTCCTTTATTGCAGAGACGGGATTTATTGAGGTGTTTTACAGTAGGGAATGAGTTAGGTTTGAACTCTTGCAACATAACTGGTGTGAGGTATCAGATTAGAAGCTTTTGGGGAGAGGCGTAATATCTGCTAGTTAACCCAACTGAAATTCACAAGGTGTGTGCATTAAAAATTTTATTTTTTCTTTGCAGGGGAACTCCAAGGAGAACTGAGTAAGTGTGTGTTGATTCTTTGAATGTAAAAGTTAATTTAATTCCATGGTGGAAAAGTGATGCAAATAGAAATGAAGTTCTCACAATTAGAAATAAGGGAATTGAAGTATCTTTGTTTTTGTTAGAATATTATTTTGATAAAATTTGCTAGGATGGACAGACGAATGCTACAGATCAATTTCTGCTCCCATTGGGTAAAAATCTGTCCTATACAAATAGGCTATTTGTCACTTATATCCCACACATCCCTTCAAAATAAGGCATATGTGATTATCTCTCTTGTATTCACAGTTCTTGTCCCCACAAATATATCCCCCAAATA